CGCGCGCTTCTTCGTCGATTTCTTCTTCTTCGGCTTTTTCGACCACGGGTTGTAGTCCATGTCCAGCCAGTCGTCGCCGTCGCCGCCGGGCGCGGGCGCGGGCGCGCCGTCGTCCGACTCGTCGGACGACGACGGCGCGCGCTTTTCGACGCGGCGGCGCTTCGCGGCCGGCTTTTTCGGCGCTTTGGCGAACGCGTACGAGTCGGACTCGGAGTCGTCGCTGGACGCGGCGAGCGCCTTGGCGCTCGCGACGGCGCGCGGGAAGTCGTCGTCGGACGACGTGTCGTCGAGCCAGGCCTTGGCCGGCGACGGCCGCGCGGGCGGCGGCGCGGGCCGCGGCGGCGGCGGCGGCGCGGCCGGCGCGGCCGCGCGGCCCTGCTTCTTCGCGAGCTTGGCCTCGGCGGCCTTCCGCGCGTACTTCTCGGCCATGCTATCGAGGAGCGACACGGGCTTCCGCGGCGGCGGCGCCTTCGGCGGCAGCGCCGCGGCGCGCGCGATGAGGCTCTCTGCTGAGATGATCTTCGGCCGCGGCGGCGCCGCGCGGCGCGGCGCGTCGTCATCGCTCGAGCTGTCGTCGAGCAGGCCCATGGCTGCGCGCGCGATCGATGCGATCGATGCGGCGCTGCGCGGGCGTGCGGCGCGGCGCGCGCGTCGAGGCGGCGCGGACCTTCTCGATGAGCTCGTGTTCCCGCGGCGCTCTTCGCGGAGGGTGGGGCAGGAGCTGCGGGCTACCCGGCGCAGGACCGCCTATACGTGGCGATCCGGACGGCGGCAAACGTCTACAAGGACCAGAACAACGGCATGTCCGCCGGACACTCCGTCATCAACGGCGCCTTCATCTCCGCGCTGTCCCCGGCGCAGAGGACGCCGTCGAAGCGCGGGACGCCCGCGGCCTCGAGCCTGAGGGCGACGTTCTTGAAGTTGCTGAGCCAGCCGGGGCTCTCCACGAACTCCAAGTTGACGAAGTCCCCGCAGGGGTCGGCGGCCACCTGGACCACGCGTCTTCCTCGACAACGTCGTCTCATGTTTTACTCATGAGGGCTCTCTCCTCCAAAGAGCCGGAGCCCAGCGCGGGCGGCGCGGACCGCCTGGGACGCCTGGGCGCGGACTTCGCCGACGAGAAGATCAAGGAGCACGTCGTCCTCCTGAAGAGCCACGGGGGCCACAAGGTCTACGGCGTCGTCGAGGCTCAGCCTCCGCCAACGCGCAATGGCCGAGTACCTCTCCGCGCTCTGGCCCATCGATGAACTCGGCCGAGGCACAACCATCGCGCGCGAGACCGAGAGAAGTACACAGACGAGTTAAAGATTCCCGAGCGGCCCGCCGCGGTTGCGGCGGCCCGCCGCGCGCCCTAATCCGAGCGGTAGCGGTTCTTGCCGTAGGCCTTGACCATGGGGTGCGCGGGCTCGGGCTTCTCCATGGCCTTGCAGACGCCCCAGTAGGAGACGATGACGGCGCCGTAGATCTTGTAGGCGTGCTTGAAGAAGAGCGACTCCGCGGCGCCGGTGCTCTCCGCGGCTTTCGCGCGCGCCGCGGGCCCCGCGGCCGCCGCCGCGGCCTCGAGCCTCGCCGGCGCCGCGGCGAGGAAGGCCATGGCCTCGTTCGTGCGCTGGACCGTCAGCCGGTGGTCCGCGTAGGTCCGGTAGGGCTCCATGAGGTAGAACAGGCGGCGCACGTAGGGCCGCAGGGCGCCCTGCGCGACGAGCGCGAGCTTCGCCTTCATGTCGGGCGCCTCGACGCCCTGCTTCAGGTGCACGGTCAGCGCGGAGAACTTGCGGAACGACATCGCGCGGGTGTGCAGCGGCGCGCGGCAATGCGATGGGCTACACGAGGACGTGGTCGATCGACGGGCCCGGCGATGTGCAACGTGAGATGCTGCCGTGACGTTGAAGCCTCCTTACCCCTCGACGACCGTCGCGTCCTCCGCCCCTTCGAGGAGCCGCTCGAGCATCGCGAGCTCCTCCTCGGACATGGCGTAGCGCAGGCGGCACGCGTAGGTCGCGCGCTCCAGGGGCGTCTCGCCGTCCTCGTCCTCCGCGTCCGCGCGCGCGCCCGCCGCGAGCAGCCGCGCGGCCATGGCGACGTTGCCGCAGTCGCAGGCCACGTGGAGCGGGCTCTCGGCGGCGCGCGGCGCGACGGCGTCGGCGCCGG